GACAGTTCTAATTTTTAGAGTTTCCGATTACTTGGTTTTTGATTAAGATAGGGACACATGTATTAACACAGCATAGAGCTGAAAAGATCAGCAATCTTTGCTATTTCATTACTCTGTACCTTCCACCACAAACACCCAATTTACGGATGTTGGAAGTGAGGTTTAGGAGATTAAATACTCTGCTTAAAGTTCTATAATAAATGGCACAGAAAGATTTATTATGGTGTCATCATCTGTCCAGTGTTCATGCTTGTAAATATCATGCCAAAGTACTTTTGAAAATGTGGCTTTCTGGGCCTCACCCCACCCCTATTGGATCATGACTTTGAGGGTAGGCTAAAGATAGGTATTTTGGGAATGGCTGTAAGAATAATTATAAACCACAGCTAGAGTTTACAGCCTTTGAAATAAAAAACATAGATCAGTAGCTATCAGTTTAGATTTTAGTTCACTTAAACTAACCATTTTATTGAACCTTAAATTCATAAAGTTCTCTCAGTTCATATTCTCCTGGAGAATTGTCAAGGGAGAGTTACTGTGGATACAGCATCATATTTTCCATTTTCATCAAAATGAGTGACAGATGGTCAGAGCTAAGAAACCTCTATCGTGTCCTAAACTATATTATTAATTACAAATTATTTTGTTGTAGCCAGTTTTATCAGGTTCTATCACCAAAGACAACTAGAATATGGAGATAACTTTCACTAAGGTGAATTTTCTTTGTTGTAGGACTTAGTATTGAGAGTGATCACCTCTGAGATACAAGGCCTACCTGGTTAGAGAGAAGGTAAACTCCATTTCCACGCTCTATATCAATAAGAAATGTTATCACTTTTGAAGGAATATTTTTCACTCCTCTCGAAGTCTGGGGTATGCAGGGAAACCATTCAAGGAATGGCTCTGAACTATAAAAACAAGCACTTGCCTAAGAAAAGAGAAAGGAAGTGAATGCCACTCTCTTCCAGGGAATGGGAGTCTGAAAAGCATCTCCTTCAGGGATGGACTTTTTTTCTAGGAGCACTGTGTAGGTCCAGATTTAATGTGATTAAATAACTACCATTAAACCCAGCAAAAAGAAAGCAAAATCCTCACAGTTAGACCAACAAGCAACATCGTGATAAATGGAGAAAAGCCTGCAGTTGTCAAGGATTTCATTTTACTTGGATCTACAACCAACGTCCATGGAAGCAGCAGTTAAGAAATCAAATGACGTATCGTGTCAGGCAAATCTGCTGCAAAAGACCTCTTTAAAGTGTTCAAAAGCAAAGATGTCACTCTGAGGACTAAGGTGAGCCTGACACAAGGCATAGTATTTTCAATCATGTGAAATCTGGACAATGAATAAGGAAGACCAAAGAAGAATTGATGCCTTTGAATTTGGTGAAGACTATTGGATATATCATGGACTGCCATAAGAACAAACAAATCTGTCTTGGAAGAAGTATACCCAGAGTGCTCCTTACATGTGAGAATGGTGAACTTGATCTCCTGTACTTTGGACATGTTATCAGGAAGGACCAGTCCCTGGAGAAGGACATGATGCTTGGTAAAACAGAAGGTTAGTGAAAAAGAGGGAGACCCCCAATGAGATGGATTGATACAATGGCAGCAACAATGGGCTCAAACATCACAATGATTGTGAGGATGGTGCAGGCCTGGGCAGTGCTTTGTTGTGTTGTACGTGGGGTTGCCATGAGTTGGAATGAGTTTGACAGCACCTAACAACCAGACATATCCCTAGGTGATTGTAAAGCCTTTCATCTGCAGAACTGCCTTTTTTTTTTTTTTCCAGATTAATAACAACTCATGAAATTATGCACAACAAAATTTCTTACCTTTTAAAATATTCAATACCATACCTCACTTAGGGTCTTGTTTCTGTCAAAGGTGATAGTAACATAATCATCTATAAAATGGAAAGGTACAGTAATTACAAACAGCATCTGTTCTTCTAAAACTATAAGGGGTGGTATTAAGAACACAGACTGCATAAATCAAAACTCTAGATGTTATGGACCTTCAATCTTGAATACATTTTCTTATAGCTCTAACAGGGTTTGCCTATTGCCTCAGATGTAAATGAAAATTGTTCTCAGTTTTAGGTCATTAATAGGCAAATCTATTTTGACATTCTATTCTACTTTTATTGTATGTCAGTTTATTGAATCTATGTATGTCATCTGTTGCTAACCATAGGTTTTCAGACAGTGTTCTGAAAAGGCCGTCACAAGCTAATTTTCAGAAGGTGATCACCAGGACTTTTCTCTCTGTCTTAGTCTGGAAGTTCTGCTGAAAGCTCTGTAGCCACAATGGGCTCAAACATTCCACAGATCGTGAAGATGGTACAGGTCAGGCACCGTTGCACCGTGTTACATGGAAGGTCACCATGAGTCGGAGCTCATTCAGTAGCAACAGACAACACACATACGGTCTGCAC